TGGGTATGTGAATTATATCTCAATAAACTGCTAGAGGTGGGGTGGAGGAGGGGACTGGCTACCGGGGAGAAATGGAAGGGTCAAACAGGAGAAGGAATTACACTGACGTGGAAAACTATGAAACAAACACCAAAAATCTCAATAGATCAGATAAACTCTTGATCGAGTCATTTTAAGAGAATATTAATGAATCAGAAGATTGCACTGACCAAAGAGACCCAGAACTCAGCACAGAGAGACAAAGAGATAAAATATGAGCAGTGACGACATGGAAGGTAGATAAAAAGGCTATACGAGCAGATTCCAATTCTTCAGCTGTAAAACTCCCACCCCAACTGATATTATTTCATTATATTATTTTAATTTGACCTTTCACACCGTAATTTACAGTTAAAATGTGTTCTTCTATATTATCCTTCTCTATCAACTTTCATCATAGCACTCTTAGAGAAGATAATTTTTAAAGACTTCTACCAAGGAGAGTCTGACTGTCAATAAAAGCGTTTATAGCAGATGAATGGATCTATAATACAGTATATTCATTAGACCTTTTTAAAAAAATACATGGTTTGGGCTCTTGGGTGGCTCAGATGGTTGGGCGTCTGCTTTCCAAGAAATAAGAGGATTAGTTAAAAATCAGTTTAAAGCCCCATTACTCCTCATTAAATTGTTTCATCAGGTGTGAGGCAGCTGGAAAATGTTAGTCTTTCCCCCATCCCCTTCAATGAAGCAAAAATCGTTTTGACTGAAAAACACTCCTTAATAAAATAATAAAAATAATAAAAATAAAAGTTGCTTTCCTTTAATGTTCTATTGAAATGTTTCAAAAAGCACTTCCTTTGTTCAAAAGACGTCCTTAACCATCTTCTCAAATGGTTCTTTCCTTTGAATTCTTGATGTCATGTTCATTTCTTAAAAGTCTGACTTGGCGTATTTCATGGTTGTGTTGAAATGTTTGCCTTTTAATCACACGGAATGGTGGCCCCAAAACAAACACAATTACCTTATGGAAACAACTTAGCAACCTGCCCAAAGTCTGTTTGATAGAATTGTTATTTCCCTGTACGTTAGTAGGGATAGTACTCAATGTATTTCTTTTTTTTTTTTTAAAGATTTTAGTTTTAAGTAATCTCTACACCCAACATGGGGCCCAAACTTACAACCCCAAGATCAAAAGTTGCCTGCCCTACTGACTGAACCAGCCAGGAACTCCTCAATGAATTTCTTATATACCTGAAAGAAGCCTAACAGAGAGAAGAAAACTGGAATTTTTTATTTCTGCTTCACAGAATATTAGAAGTCAATAGAACATGTAAGCTGTATTATAAATCAATCGATTTCCTTCCCGCCCCAAAATTGAGTTTTAGTATAAATAACAGTACCAAAGAAAATGAATAAACTAAGGGCAACAGTGAAAGATAATCTATAGCAAATTGAATATCTTTGCTATCTAAATATATTCTAGAAATTCGTAAGTAAAAGATCACAGCAGAAACAGATAAACGGGCAAAGGATATGAATGGACAATTCACAACCAGTGACAAAATTTCCTAAGAAACGTACAGGAAAATGATAAATCAAAGAACTGAAATATAAATGAAATATTATTCCCCTCCCTTTATTAAAGGAATATAACTTGAGGAGATAATATCCTGATCTGATGATATCATAAATTAATACTTTTGTACATAACTGGTGGGACTGTAAATTGGCACAACCATTTTGGAAAAGTCTTTGATAGTATGTATTAAGAGCCACAATAAATTCACATTCTCTAACCTAGCGATGCCATTTCTAAAAATCAATTCTTAAAGTCTAAAAAATGAGAAATGATCTGCACAGGGACATCTTTTATCATCCTTTATCATTGTTTATAATAGAAAAATTTAGAAACAACCTAAATGACCAGTGATAATTTAGTAAATTATGGTACACCTATATGATGAGATACTCTAATGTTTTTAAAATTGTGAAACAAAGAAAAGTATTTATGATATAATGTTAAGTGAAAAGAGAATACAAAATTGTCTATACTGTGTTTACAGCAATACTAAACACAAACCAAAAGTAAATATATCAAAATGAACACTATTGTTGTTAAGCTGGTAGAAATTATGGGTTTATGATATTCCTTTTATCTAATTTCCAGTGAATGAGTAAGTGTGTGTGTGTGTGTGTGTGTGTGTGTGTTGAAAAAGTTCATTTTATTTTTTTTTTAAAGATTTTTATTTATTTATTTGTTTTAAAGAGAGACGGGGCGGGGGGTTGGTGTGCAGGGAGGAGCAGAAAGGGAGAAAGAGGAAAAAGAATCCCAAGCAAACTCCTCACTGAGCACAGAGCCAGATCTCATGATCATGACCTGAGCCAAAACCAAGAGTTGGATGTTTAACCAACTGAGCCACCCAGGCACCCTGAAAAAGTTCATTTCATAATAAAATATCAGGCAACCTTAAAATACACTAAATTCTTACCCAGGATCTAAATCAGTGGAAAGAACAAGTTATAGGATGTTTTAAAAGAAACACAGCTTTATTCCTTTCTAAGACATAACTGATGAATAGGTAAGCTTAATTGTGATCAGCATGTTAGTCACCTATGATCATTTTTATAATGGGAGTAAGGTTTTCCTTGTTCAGACTCCGACTTGATAAGTAGGGAACTCTGTGGTCGTGCCTCAGCCCCTATCGGGGTATTCTGAGGAACTCTCTACATTGCTTAAATTTCCTTATTGTTACTTTTGAGGGTTTTACGTTATGCCACCTTCCTGGGTCATAGCATCAGTAGTTCAATTGGCTTTATTTTCTTCATGGACAAAACTAGTGGGTTAAACTAAATGATATCAAATTCCAGATCTGTAATTCTGATTCTAAATTAAGGCTTTCAAAATGCTTTAAGCCTACTAATTCTCAAATTGTTTAAGACTTTGATCTAACAAGCTTCAGCTGCAGGACCCTTCTCTTGTTTGGGCCTGGAAAAGTCTCTTTCTGTGTGTTAAAAGATGATCATGTGTTTCTGTTTAATTTGCAAAAAATAAGAGATTTTGACCCCCACTGGGTAAGACAGTTAGCTATTTCTTCCTCTGTTTTTCCTTTACAACATTTCCTCTTGTATCAGGTGGTGTCCTAGTGGCTATGGGGATACAGGGCATTCAAGGAAGGAGAAATTGAATTGGGGTTTCATTATTTTGAGTGTGATGGAAATTTATGTGCCTCAGTTGCATTTCCTTGTCTTGGGAATGGTTTCCAGGACTGCTGTCATTCCCACTGTGCTGACTCACCTGGTGATGTGCCGTGAAAGGCAAAGCCAGGGGTCTCCCTACATGTGAGCATGTCCTTCAACAACCTGCTCTGGAAGTACCTGGATCATGGAAGAGAAACAAGGTTTGAAATACTCAGAGACAGAAACTAGTCTGTGCAGCATACTTCCAAATCTTCCGGCTTTGAAAGAAACCATATCGACAGAGTTTTGTATTGAGTTTAACTAAGATATAATAAGAACAAAAAGAAAATGAGAGGATTAGTCAAAGATATCCAAATATAAATAATAGAAATTCCTGAAAGAGAGAGAGAGAGGCAATAAAAGTGAGAAAATCATTACTATGATAACATTTCTCAAAACTACAGGAATGAGTTTCCAAGACCGAAAGGCTGCCTCAGTGACCATAGCATTGGAGTCAAACAGATCCACATAAAGGCACATCAGAGTGAAATGTCAAGACGCTGGAAACAAAGAGAAGTTTCTACAAGCTTCCAGAAAGAGAGAAGAAAAACAAGTCATGTGGAAAGAATCAGAATCAAATAGCCTTGAAATTCTCAGCAACAACCCTGGAAACTAGAACATAATAGTGGTTATCCTTAAAACTCTGAGCAAAAAATGATTTCCAATTTATTTCTACCCACAGCCAAGCTACCCATCAAAGATGGGGATAGAATAACTATATTTTGAGACAAGGCTCAAAAATTTTACTTTCCACTTCAGAAAGCCACCAGAAGAAGTGAAATGAAGCTGCAAAAGAGGAAGGCGTGAGGTGCAAACAACAAGAGATCTGACAGGGGTGAGATGTGGATGAAGACTCCCAAAGGTGATGAAGCGCTCAGGGTGAAAACCGGACATCTGAGCATGGTTGCCTTCTGCAGTTCTATTGGCTTTTCATCCTGAGGAAGCTACTCAAAGATGTACGCCACCAAAACAAAGGCGAAAACCAAGAAAGAGGAAGACATGAGAACCAGGAAAGAGGGAATCAAATCTAGGAGAAAAGCAAAGGGCATTTCAAAGCCTGAGTGCAAAAGGAAGTCTTGGGATGACAGCTGTGCAGGAAGCCTGGGGAGCAGCCAGTAGAGATCAAAGAGAAAGAAGGTCTCCAGAAGGTAAGTCAGGAAGAAAACATTCAGAACTGGCACCCCCCCCCCCCCCAAACGTTTGGGAAAAGCCCCGGGGAAGGGGGGCAAAACTTAGAGAACAATATGCGAAGCAAGTAAACAAGGCAATTATTGTAAGTTCGAGAAAAACAGAAAGTTGGAAAAGAAATTTAACCAGAGGATACCACAATGTTTAGTTGTGGATAATGATCACATGGCATCATCAAGTAAACACTGACTATTGATTTCACAAAACATTGAAATATGTATATTTGGGGGCAGAGTGGATGACAGCAACAGTAATGCATCTTTATAACAGAAGCCAATAGATAATATCAAAAGCTGATTTGTGAAAATATAGCATATATACCTATTATTTAAAAAATATGGAAGTGTGTGTATGCAGGGGCGGGTGGAAGCTGAAAGAATGTATATGTAAGGTTTTGCCATGTAATAAGCCACCACAAAACTTAGTGGCTTCAAACAACATACATCTTTGTATTTCTTATAACTCTGTAGATAAGCTGGACATTTCTTCTGGTTTAGGTCAGCTCAGCTGAACTGTGTGGTCAGCTGGCAAACTTAGCTGAGGCTGGATGGTCTGGAATGTTCTCACCCATCTGGTGGTTGGTTCCATGTCAGCTGGGGTGGTGGTGATGATTTAGCCATCTGTGTCTCATCATGCAGGCAGCTGGCCCAGGCTCTTTCATATAATTCTTTAAAAAAATTTTTTTTTAATTTATTTGTCAGAGAGAGTGTGCACAAGCAGGGGGAGTGGCAGATGGAGTGAGAGGGAGAAGCAGGCTCTCTGCTGAGCAGGGAGCCCAATGCAGGGAGCCCATCCCAGGACCCTGGGATCATGACCTGAGCTGAAGGCAGACGCTTAACTGACAGCCACCCAGGCTTCCCTCTTTCATATAGTTCTTGCAGACTTTGTAAGAATACTATGAAAGGGCAAACCCAATGCACACGCACATTTGCAGGGCTTGTGTGATATTTGCTAAAGTTCCATTGGCCCAGACAAAACATATAGCTAAGCCCAGGTTCAAGGGATGGAGAACTAGACTCTCCCTCTCGATGGCAGGAACGGCAAAGTCACATTGGAGAAGGATGTAAACACAGGGATGGAAAGAATACGTAGTATAAGCAACAATAGTAGTTGTCTCTGCAGAGAGGATCTGAGGAAGCGAGGCAGGGACAGGCAAAGTGGGTAGGGAGATTGAGGAGAGCTGGGAGGGCTAAGGAAGGGAACCACTGTACTTTATAATAAGCATTTTAGTACTATGTTATTTTATTTTATTGTTTGGCAGAGCCCATCTTATTTTTGTATATATTTTTTGCAATTGTCTCTAAAGGCCTTTGATTTTTTGTTTTAAGATTTACTTATTGGGGTGCCTGGGTGGTGCAGTTGGTTAAGCAGCTGACTCTTGTTTCGGCTCAGAGCGGATCTCAGGGTTGTGAGATCAGGCCCCGCCTCGGTCTCTGTGCTCAGCCTGCAGTCTGCTTAAGTTTCTCTCTCCCTCTCCTTCTGCCCCTCCCCCTTGTGCGTGCTTTCTCTCTCTCTCTAATAAATAAATTAATAAATAAATCTTTTAAAAGAGACAGAGAGGGCAGGGGAAGGGGAGAGGGAGAAGGAGAGAGAGACTCTCAAGCAGACGGAGAAGGAGAGAGAGACTCTCAAGAAGACTCTGTGCTGAGCCCAATTCAGGGCTGGATCCCACCCACCACCCTGAGATCACAACCTGAGCTGAAATCAAGAGTCAGACACCTAACCAGGTGCCCCTCTAAAGGCCTTTAAAGATAACATTTGTAACTTGTTACAAATTTATAAATGCAAATTTATAAAATGCATTTATAATTGTTACAAATTTATAAATGCAAATTTATAAAATGCAAATAAGATACAAGATACAAGTTTATATCTAGTTTTTAGCTGGTTTTCTTTCAAGAACACTAATTCAAAAAGATATATGCATCCCTGTTTACTTGGCATTATTTACAATAGCCAAGTATCCATCAATAAATGAATGGGTATGAAGATGTGATACACACACACACACACACACACACACACACACACACACATGCATTGGAATATTATGCAGCCACACAAAAGGATGAGATCGTGCTATTTGTGACAACATAGATGGATCTCGAGGATATTATGCTAAGTGAAAAAAGTCCAACTAAGAAAGACAAATACCATATGATTTCACTCATACATGGAATATAAAAAAAAATGAACATATAAACAAACAAAAAGCAGAATCAGACCTATAAATACAGAGAACAAATTGACAGTTTGCCAGAGGAAGGGGCTGGGCAGAAAGAGTGAAGGAGAGTGAGGGATATGGGCTTTGAGTAACAGAATGAGTCAGGGGAAGAAAAGGCACAGCATAAGGAATGTAGTCAATGATACTGCAACAAGGTTGTATGGTGACAGATGGCAGTTACACTTGGGGTGAACAAAGCATAATGTAGAAACTTGTCAAATCACTATGTTATACATTGTAACTAATGTAACATTGTGTGTTAACTATGGTTAAAAATAAAAAATAAATGGTTTTCTTTGTGTTTACATAGGCTTTACGGGAATCCATTTTGATGGCTTTATAATATTTTATCAGGTGGATAAACCATAATTTACTAACTGTTCTAGTATTTTTACTACTATAAATAACATTGCAACAAGCACCTTTTTTGCATTAAAGCCATTTTAAAAATTATTATTTTCTTAGGATGGAGTCTTAGGAATGGGTTTCTTAGATAAGAAAGCACAAACATTTTAATGCTTTTTGAAGAATATCTATTTACATTTACTATATATACATGTTATTTTCCAGAAAATTGGTATCACTTACCGTCAGAAGTATATTCTAATAACCAGCCGTTCCACATTCTTGCTAGCATTACATTTGTGTGTGTAGACGTAACAAGTCTATTATTTCATTTTTTATAACTATATGTATTATTAATTTTATAAAAATGCAATTAACTTAGAATGAAAGGGAAAGAGTAGTCAATAGTGTCAGATCTCTAGGAGTCTCAAGTAAGAAAAGGTTGGATTTAGCAACTCCCAACCTTTGGGAGATTCAGTGAGGTCTACAAGAGTAGGTTCAGTGGAGCAGTGGTGATGGGAAATAGAGGTGAAAAATGAGAAGGAGAGGCACCAAAAATAAATTATAGTTCACAAGAAGCAAGATTATAAAGTGAGGGAGAAAGATAGGGTGCTAGGTATAAAGAAGTGCTGAATTTATGTGCAACATGTCAAACCTCCAAAGCCAGACTGAAATCTTATCTATTCATCCATCCATCCATCCACCCATCCATCCACCCATCAACATCTGCCTTTGCTTCTGTCTCTCTCACTTTGTTTTCCTAATGATAATGTCAGGAATGATTTCAAAATGTCAGTTTCTTAAATACTGACTGGGTTCAGTATTCACTCGGGTACATTATCCAAATGTTCTCAAAGTATGATCCCTAGGGATTCCCAAGACCCTTTCAGAGGACCTGAATTCAAAATTAATTTCATAACAATATATCATTTGCTTGTTTCACTGTGTTGACATCTGGTGGGTGGCACACAATCAATGGAAGATGAACCCGCTGGAGCTTTAGCACAAATCAAAACAGTGGTCCTTAGGGTACTGAGCGCAACCAGTCATCCTGGTGTTCTTCACTATCACACATAAGCAGTTTAAAAATGCTAGTTTGGATTCAGAATGTTCATGATGAACAAAATGTTATTAATCTTGTTATGTTGACCTTTGAGACCACATTTTTTAAATACTCTGTGTAACAAAATGGGAAGTCCACATAAAGCACTTCTGCAGGGGCGCCTGGGTGGCTCAGTCATTAGGCGTCTACCTTCGGCTCAGGTCATGATCCCAGGGTCCTGGGATCGAGCCCCGCGTTGGGCTCCCTGCTCTGCGGGAAGCCTGCTTCTCCCTCTCCCACTCCCCCTGCTTGTGTTCCCTCTCTCGCTGCATCTCTCTCTCTGTCAAATAAATAAATAAAATCTTAAAAAAAAAAAAATAAAGCACTCTGCAATTGTCTAAGAACACAATTACTTTTTTTCACAGAACACCATTTTTACTTGAAAGAATCACTGACAGGCAAACATTAGGATTCAGATATAGGTATTTGGCATCATTTTCCTGAAATGAATGAAGTGAGCCTGTCCTAACTAGAGTATTTATTGCCAAGGATAAAATCTGAGATTTCAAGATTAAAATGAGAATTCTGGAAGACTTGTATCTATCACCATGAGCTTGACAGTAACAGAGAGTTTTCTGATGAAATTTGAGGTGAAATAGACAAATGTGTTTTTTTTATGCTGCATAATGTTGCCAATATTTGAATATCCACATAACTCAGTGAACCAGCATTTCCCAGATAACCAGGGCATAATGTTACAGAATCATGCACAGTAAAAGAGCCAATCAAAATACAAGGTAGACTAGTAATTTTTATTTTAACAGTTTGAAAGTTTATTGATATGGTTTCATATTCTACATTACAACTGACCTTTAAGGAATTACCACTTATTGGCGCATCTCGGTGGCTCAGTCAGTGAAGCATCTGTCTTCAGCTCAGGTCATGATCCTGGGGTCCTGGGATCGAGCCCCGCTTCGGGCTCCCTGCTCAATGGGGAGTCTGTTTCTCCCTCTCCCTCTGACCCTCCCCCACTCTCTCCCTCTCAAATAAATAAAATCTTAAAAAAAAAGGAATTACCACTTACTAGTTTTTTTATGTAGAATAAAAGAAAAATAGCCACAATTATCAAAAAGGTTATTAAAATACTCCCTTTTCCAACTATGTATCTGTGTGCAGCTCGATTTTCTTCAAACATTTCAACCAAAAGAACATATCACAACAGACTGAATCAGAAGCAGATGTGAGAGTCCAGCCAAACATTAAAAAGAGACTTTCAAAATATAAAACAATGCCATTCTTCTAATGGCTTTTTTTAAATTTTAGAAAATAGTTATTTTTCATAAAATTATGTTGTCTGTGTTAACATATGATGGACTTACTATTGTTATTTTAAAAATGAATTTATAAATATTTTTAAATTTTCTCAGTTTTAATTTGTAATATAGTAACTATCAATAGCTATAATCCAGATAAACAAAAGGTCTTTGGTGTCCCCAATACTTTATAAGAATATAAAGGGTTTTGAGACCAAAAAGTTTGAGAACCACTAACCTAAGCCTTCTAACCACCACAGTGGACAATGGTTACTGATATTCAAAATGAGGATTTTGAGGTACTAAGAGCTTCTTTCAGCAATTTTTTTAACAGAGAAGAAAATTAATTCAAAATTCATAATACTGTGGAGTTATACTGTTCTCATCCTAACTTCAGTTTAGATTATTGGCTAATTGGTGTTTGCCTGGACAAGAACCTTCTTGTCTGAATATGTTTCTTCATTTATAAAATGCAAATAAGATTTGCTTCCCAAGGAAGCCATAATTTCTTTACTCCAATGAAAGCAGAAGGCAATTATTCCCTGAAATATTTCTACCACAATTTAATTATTCATTTCCAATCCCTCAAGGCATTTCTTGTCTGCTAATATTGGTAATTATCTCCTTTAGCCAAATTCAATATGTGGTTTCTATTTTTAATTGCCCCAGGGTATTGCAAGGAA